GGTTCCGCTGTCTGCCTCGCAAGCACAAGGGCCCAAGTTCGATCCCTGGTACCAAAAAAAAAAAAAGAAAGAAAAGGTAGACAATAAGACAATAACAAGTGTTGGTAGGAATGTGGAGAAACTGGAATGCTCATACTTCTGTGGTGGGAACGTGAAGTGTTGTAAACCACTTGGAAAATAACTTAGCAATTCCTCAAACACTTAACCATTTTGAATTTTCATTCATTCATTTTTTCTGGTACTGAGAGTCGAACTCAGGACCTTGTGCTTGCCAGGCAGGTGCGGCACCACTGAGCTAAGGCCCTGGTCCACCATTTTGAATTATATGATTCTATAATTCCACTTGTAGGTGCAACTCTCTCAAGAGAAATGCAAACATTGAGGCTGAGGCAGGAGGACTGCCTCAAGTTTGAGGCCAGCCTGGGCCATCTAGTGAGTTCAAGGCCAGCCTGAACTATAAAGTGAGATCCTATATAGAAAAACCCAAACCAAAAAAAGAGTGCACAAGAGAAATGAAAATAAATTCACAAAGTTATGTGTAAATGTTTATGGTAGCATTGTCCACAATAGTTAAAAAGTGTGAATAATCCAAGTGCCTATCACTAAATAAAATGTGGTATAAATATAAAATGTAATATTATTTTGCAGTGAAGATAAAGTACTGATACATGCTACAACACGGATAACTTTGAAAACATACTAGATGAAAAGCCGGATACAAAAAACCCCACATATTGTATGATCCCATTTATATGAAATGGCCAAATTAGGCAAATCCAGAAACAAAAAGATCAGGGATTTCTTAGGATTAGGAGGTTTGGAGGTGGGGTTGGAAATGATAGCTAATTTCTCCACATTTCTTTTAGGGAGAATGAAAGAGTTCTGAAATTAGACTATGCATATACTAAATACTAGTCACTCTAAATGGTACACTTTGGTGTGTGGGGTGGGGCTTGAGACAAGGTCTCATTATGTAGTTCTGGCTGGCCTGGATCTATGTAGACCAGGCTGGCCTTGAACTCACTGCGACCCTCCTGCCTCAGCCTCTGCAGTGCTGGGATTACAGACATGTGACACCACTCTCTGCTGCATGGTACACTTTAAATGACCAAAATGTATTGTATATGAATTATAGCTCAGTAAAGCTAAAAGAAAGAAAGAAACTAGGCAACATGATCCGCTTCCCAGAATGCATTGAATTCAGATAAATTTGGAATGTTGGTGGTTCCACTCGTAGCTGGCTTCCCAAAACATCCTCCATGAGGCCCTGACTGTTGAACTGCCGCTATCCTCAGAGGGATGGGACTTGGCCCTTTCCCCCCGGAGACAGTGTAGTGAGCACAGTGTGTGGTGGGCAGCATGCACAGGCCTAGGAATGTCTTAGCAGCAGGGTCCACCGGCCCCTCCGCTCGAGTTCCCTGGGTGTGGCGAGGGACCAGGAAGCTGCGACTGTCAATTCAGACCCCAAGGCTTTTTTTAAAGACAAAGTCTCACCATGCAGTTCAAGCTGGCCCTCAACTCATTATGGAGCCCAGGCTGGCTTCCAACTCAAGGCGATCCTCTTTTTTATTTATTTTGTTTTTTTTGAGACAGGGTCTCACTATGTAGCCCAGGCTGGTCTCGAACTCACAGCGATCCTCCTGCTTCAGCCTCCTGAGTGGTGGGATCACAGGCGTGCTCTATCACACCCGACCCTTTTTAAAAAGTCTGTTTGGATTTTCGGGATACCCTTTGCAGCGAAGTAAACTAGCCTGGCGGTGGGGGGGATATCACAGTGTCCGAACTAGTAGTTAGCTGTATTAGTTCAGTGAGTCTCTTTGGGTGACAGGATTATGGACGATTTTTATTTTCTTTGTATTTCTGTTTTCAGATTGTGTAGAAATGACTTACTGATGTCTTCAGAAAAAAAAAAAAGAAAGCTTTACAAAGAGGTTTGGCAGCCCTCGCCAACCCAGAGGTCACTGGTGAGGCTGGAACCTCACCTCCCGCCCCTCGTCCCCAGTGTCCAGGGGGCTTGGGGACAGCAGCACTCAGGTCGCGCAC